TGAATACAAATAAATAACCTAATGCTACACCTCAGACATCTAGAAAAAGAAGAGCAAGTCAAGCCCAAAGCCAAAAGAAGGGAAGAAATTATAAAAAATCAGAGCAGAAATTAATGCAATAGAGACTCAGAAAACAATCCAAAGAATCAGTGAATCAAAGAGTTCCTTGAAAGAATAAATAAAATTGATAAGCCCCGAGCCAACCTTATTAAAAAAGGAAAGAAAAAGCTCAAATTTATGCAATAAAGAATGAAAAATGTGAAATCACTACAGACTCTATAGAAATACAGAAGATCATCAACACCTATTTTGAAAACCTCTGCTCTCACAGGTTTGATAACACAGAAGAAGTAGACAGCTGCCTAGAAACATATGAAGTACCAAAGCTAGGTACCAAAGCAAGGAGATGTAAAACTGCTGAATAACCCAATTTCTATTAATGAAATTGAAAATGTAATTAAATCCTTACCTACAAAGAAGAACCCAGGCCAGATGGATTCACTGCAGAATTCTACAAGAAGTACAAAGAAGACTTAATGCCGACACTCCTCAAACTCTTCAATGAAACTGAAAGGGAAGCAACTCTTCCTAAGTCATTCCTGGAAGCAAATATTACTCTAGTACCAAAACCTGAGAAAGACCCAACTAAAAAAGAGAACTACAGGTCAATCTCCCTAATGAACACAGATGCAAAAATCCTCAATAAAATATTGGCAACTAGAATACAGCAAATCATCAAGAAGATTATACACCATGACCAAGTGGGATTCATCCTAGGTATGCAGGGATGGTTCAACATACATAAATCAATAAATGTAATCCACCATATCAATAAGCCAAAAGTAAGAATCACATGATCATCTCTATAGATGCAGAAAAAGCTTTTGATAAGGTCCAACATTCATTTATGATAAGAGCCTTACAGAAAATTAGAATAGATGGTCTTTACCTCAATATAATAAAGGCCATCTATGACAACCACAGCCAGTATCATACTAAATGGCCAAATACTGAAGGCCTTTACCTTAAAATCAGACACAAGACAAGGACGTCCCTTATCACCACTCCTATTTAATATAGACTGGAAATACTAGCCAGCGCAATTAGACAAGAGAGAGAAATAAAAGGGGTAAAGATAAGAAAATTAGAAGTTAAATTATCGTTATTTGAGAGGACATGGTACTCTATATAGAAGACCACCAAAACTCCATTGAAAGACTCTTAGGTATAATAAATAAATTCAGTAACGTAGCTGTATACAAAATCAATACTCAAGAATCAATAGCATTTCTATACACTAACAACAAAATCACACAGAGATTAATAAGAGAAGCCACATCCTTCAACACTAGCAACTAAAAATATGAAATATTTAGGAATTATCCTCACGAAAGAAGTCCAAGATCTATATAAGTAAAAGTATAATACACTGAAAAAAGAAATTAAAGAGGATATCAGAAAATGGAAAGACATCCTTTGCTTGTGGTTAGGAAGAATAAATATTGTGAAAATGGCCCTTCTCCAAAAACTGTTATACAGATTCAATGCAATCCCAATGAAAGTAACATCAACATACCTCATCGATCTGAGAAATCACTTCTAAAATTCATCTGGAGCAAGAGGAGACCTAGAATATCAAAGACAGTTCTAAGCAGCAAAGGCAAGGCAGGAGGCATCACAATCCCTGACTTGAAGTCATACAAAGCATCTGTAGTAAAATCAACATGGTGCTGGAATCAAAACAGAGCCAAAGATCAATGCAATAGATTAGAAGATACAACCACAACTACAAACACACTCAACCACCTTATCTTTGATAAAGGGGCCAAAGAGGTTCACTGGAAGGACAGTTTCTTTAATAAATGATGTTGGAAAAACTACCTCTCCATATGCCAAAAACTAAAACTAGACCCATGCCTATCACCATGTCCTAAATTAAAATCTAAATGGATCAAAGATCTGAATATTAAAACAGAAACACTAAATTTATTGGATGACAAATTGGGTAAAAATCTTGAAAACATAGGGGTAGGTAGAGAATTCATGAACAGGAATCAAACTGCATGAGAAATACTTCCCAGAATCAATAATAACTAGGATCTCGTCTTATTAAAAAGATTCTGCATGTCAAAAGAAATCTCTAGCATAGTGAAAAGACAAACCATAAACTTGGAAAAAAATCTTAGTGAACTGTCCCTCAGATAAAGAACTTCTGTCTAAAATATATAAAGAATTTAAAAAACTCAGATCCCCAAAATTCAAAGACTCAATCCAAAAATGGGCATCTGAGATGAGTGTACAATTCTCAGATGAAGAAATACAAATGGCAAATAAATATGTGAAAAATTTTCATCTTATTACTCATTAGAAAAATGCAAATTAAAACCACGCTGAGATTCCATCTCACTCCTGAAACAATGGCCAGGATCAAGAAAACTACCAACAACAAATGCTGGAGAGGCTGTGGGGAAAAAGGAACTCTCCTGTACTGTTGGTGGGATTGTAGACTGCTACAACCATTGTGGAGGTCAGTCTGGAGATTTCTCAAAAAGCTGGGATTGGAAGTCCCATTTTTTCCAGCTATTCTACTTCTAGGCATATTCCCAGAAGAACTGAAAGCATCAGACCACAGTGATATATGTGAACCTATGTTTATAGCAGCACAATTTGTAATCGCCAGATCTTGGAAACAACCTAAGTGTCCATCAACTGAGGAATGGATAAAAGAGTTGTGGTATTTTTATACAATGGAGTACTACTCAGATATAAAGAATGATCACATTGAGTTATTTATAAATAAATGGATGCAGCTTGAGACCATACTCATAAGTGAAATAAATCAAACTCACATGTATAAATACCGAATAGTTTCCCTAGTGTAAGAAATGGTAAGAATACATAAAAGTATGTGGTAATCATGATTCCCTATTATATTTTTTGAAGCCTTATAATATTTTCATTCATTAATTGTAATGGTTTTACTCTGAGGTGTTTGATTTGTCTGTGATAGTATGAACAGTTATTTTGAAGAAAACAAGACATTATAATAGCTGGTGCTGATTTAATATCATCTTGTTTTGAAGTCCCATCAGGCTTATGTTCTTCTGTCTCCATCAGTTTCTTCATGTTGTATCTTATTGGATTTTATTATATGTGAGTAAAACATATATGTCCGTAAAACAAAATGTTTTACAGACAAGGAGATAATATAGAAACCCTTGTTCATTTTCTGTTAATTGGTTCTAAATACCCTGTAATACTTTTACACTCTTGAATGGTTTTCACTGTCTTGTTATGTTTGATACTATAGTATAGGAAGGTATACTCAAATATTTCAAGGAAAGGGACACTATGGTATCTACTGTCATGTCAGGTTATCCTGTGGTGAAACACTATGTTGCTTAAATTATTCTGTTCTGACCTGTGTTGTTATGTCTTCTTTCATCTTAATATCCTCTTTCCTTTTTATATATTTAAAAAAACCAGTGTGCTTACTCATCTTGGACTTCAAACTCTAAGCCAGTGATGGTAAAACTTTTAGACCTTTCAGTGATACAAGCAGCCACTGTGACACATGGCATAGGCTCATCGCTAGTGCTCTAAGTTATGAGCTAAATAATATTTTTCTACTAAGTTAATTGACTCAGTGTTATGGTTTAGATCTGAAATGTTCCCAAAAAGCAGATTCATCAACCAATGAGTTCAGTAGCTAAATATGTTCTTAGGAGGTGAGGCCTGGTAGGAAGTGGGTCACTTGTGGTGTTACCTAGAAGTGTGTATTTTTGTCCTCAGCTCCTCTTTCTCTCTCTGCTTCCTGGCTAACATGAAGTGAGTAGTTGTCTTCTTCCACGCCCCTCCATCATGCCCTTTTTGCCTTGGAGCCAGCCGACTTTGGCATGAATCTGCTGGACCTGTGAGCCAAACCATCCTCTCCTTTAAGTTGTATGTGTTGAGTGTTTTGTCCCAGCGATGGGAAAATTGCCTAACATACTCAGGCACATTGTAATAGCAATATGAAGCTGACTAATGCATTAATATGCCATCCAGCCCTGGATGTACTCAGAACCATGTCAGAGGAGTTGTGATTTCATGAGTAAGAAAGATTCTGCCCTAGCAGTTGATTTCCATGGATTAAAAATAAAATATGGGCAAGATCCACAGCCATCATGTACCTATTAATCCCTAGTATGTCAGCATGAGCCACCTTTTTCTCTCTCCAGTGTTCTGAGTCAAAAGAAAAGAGAATGAGCCCATGGGGGAAGAGTATTGGAAAAGCAGGGAAGGCTCTATAGCCCAACCACCAACATCTGGCCCAATATGGCCACATTTGTGGGTGATGGATAACATGAGGTTTGCTGTTTGTGTAGGTGTGCACGACTGTCTCAGAACTCGGGTAATGGAGAGAAGTGACCAGAAAGGGAATTCAGAGGAAATAGCATCCTGTAGTCATATCATACCCTCTCATGCCCTTCAGTCTAGACCACGTCACTTAACTTCCCTGGACTCATTACCTTCATTGTAAAGAAACAGTAGTCTGAACCTCAGAAGGACACGGGAGAACAGAGCAAGGGTGACCAGGGCTAAAGAGGAAAAAGCAGTCCTTGGGCAGCTTCTGCTCCAGCTTGAGATTCTGTCTCTTTCTAGCTTGTGCTTAGCCTGGTCTTTCTGACTCCAGAGTGAGGAGAGTTCTCAGCACTGGCAGAGGCTACACATGAGCAGTTTTCCCTGTGGGAGAACCGGTTCAGTGAGAAGAGCCCCATAGGCTGAGCCTCCGGTGCTGGCCAGGAAAAAAGTGGAGAAACAAGACTAAGGAGAGAGCACTGGTGCAGATAAGGGCAGGTAGACGAGGGGTTGTGTTGGGTTCTCAGTGATAATAACAGTAAGAATAAATGAGGCAAGTTCTTAGGCATTTATCTTGGTTTATTTGACAGAGGCAGAGGTACAAACAGTGAGGAAGGCAGTCTTCTTATGGACAGTTTTGCTTCCTTGATTTGAAGTTCTCATGCTTCCGATGTGTGCTCAGTTTGTGGGGGTTTGAGGGGAGCAGGAAGCATAGTCCACGCTTCCACTTGTAGGAGGCTCATGCAGATGTTCCCGCAGAAGGCTGAACAGCATATGTTATTTGCTTGACAGTCTCGGTGAGCTTCACATTGGCGGTTGCACTGATAAAATTCAGGTGTCTTCTCACAGATCTTGATTTTGGGGACCAGTCGTGTTTCTGAAATGGAGCAGGAGGAGGGTGAGTGGGAGCAGCTAAATAGAAAGCAGTTTTCTCAAGCTTAAAACGCCACCCAGAAATCAGGACCTACTCACAATACTTTTAGTCTTTTCCAGGAACTTTCTTTGTGTCTCTTATCAAATCCTTGTGATCAGTAGTGTCTTAAATCCTATGTTCCGCCTGTTACCCTCTCTCTTCCCCTATGGATCTCAGTGTCTGGGCTTCTGAACCTTCCCTCCCCTGTTAGGCACAGAGACGAAGATGAACCTGAAATACCTAGACTCCTGTGAGGTCACCCTTATGCGACCTGCACTCTAATCTGGAGAGCTCAAGAAGCCTGAGACCCCTCCCATTCTCGAGAATTTTCAGAATGCAGAGAGAAAGATGGGCTTGCCTCTTATTCTTCTCTTCACTGTCACTGTGTCCAGTACCCCAGTCCCTTTGGTAGTTTCCCTTTTCCCCACCAACCCCCTGCTGCCTCTGATAAACACTCTGTGTTGGCTCTGTTGGACACTGGACACCCCACAATGTTCTTGCTTTCTATACCTGTGCTCTTTTCATCACCTACAGTCATCCCCGTATACATCTCTGGATATTTACCCTTTGCAAATGTGCATATATCAGGGGATAATTGTCTTATTTTCCAATTAGATTTTCAACTCTGCTGCACCTGTTTCTGAAGTATGTACCAGTTGTTTCTGGATTGTTGGAATGGAGGAAAAACATTGTGAGTCCTTTCCTATCCCACTGCCCTTTACAGGCCTGGGTGACAGAGGGCTGTGGGTTGTTAAAAGCCAGAGTGTACAAAGCTTGAGCAGAGCTGGGTGTGTGGAGAAGTACCACGTCCCACGGACTCTTCGCCCTGGGCACAGTCTCTCCTTCCCAGCACCCCACTTACCCACCCAGTCCATCACCTACTCTGCATCCTCTTCCATTTACTTTCAAGGGGGCCTCCCTGGGTCTGCATGAGCAGCGGCAGCATGCAGAGGAGCAGCGTGGGCAGCAGGACCTGGTGTGGCATAACTCTGACCACAGGCACAAGCCCAAGTCTGGCTAGGCTGCCACAGTCTTCTCTCAGAGTTGCATGTGGGAAGGGAAGTCAGGGAAAGCAAATTCTCCTCGGCTCCTTGCTGCCTCTGCTGGCCAAGAGCATCCCTGTTGCCTGTCTTTACCTGCCCCTTAGAGTCCTGGGGAAGGCGGGGGCTTCTGCAGGGAGGCCACCTTCTCACCGGATCAACCCTCTCTCATTGCTCACAGACTTCCATGAAGTGTACAACTTATTTCTATTTCTAACTATAAAATAGTTTACGGAAAAATAATGTAGTTATGAAAAGATTATAATCTCATTACTTAAAATTTACCCATGTTTCATTGTATTTTCTTGTAGTCTCTGCATGAATTTAACGTGCACAACTGTTTGTCTTTTCACTTTTTAAAAAAAAATCAGGCACCTTTGTTACCTGCTGCCACTCTCATTGAATTGTGTAAAAATATTTCATAAAAAGATTTTCCACAATGGTACAACTACTAACTCATTATATTCTACACAATATTACATTGAAAATTTTAGTTACACATTCTTGATTCTTATGGACTAAAGCAAGAGAGACAGAATTAGAGAATATACCCTTATCTAACCTAAAAGTCTGAAATCCAAAATCTGAAAATTTTATTTATTTTATGCTCAGTTACATGTGCTTTTTGAATCCTATCTTCAGTATTCACTGGCTTTGTAAGATTAAAACTAGTTTTACTCAGACACATGATCCTTGTCCTTTAACTTGAGATCAACTAGATCAGCTTCCCTAGCCAGATAGCATTTCTAGGTGATGCTTACTTTTTTGAGTATTCCACAAAATGCTTGCAGATGAAGCAATCTAAGTCTGATAGGGGTTCAGGAATGGGACTATGAGAACAGAACCAGTGACAAAACTTTCACTGAGTAGAAATACAAAGTACTAAAAATGTGTGCATCATATCTGAGCACGTGTGTGTACATATACATATATGGGGATGGGCTAAGGAGAATGTCATGGGCATGAGAAGAAGGGTTAATTGGTATACATGGCAAATGTTTTAGAACTCAGGTGAGGGAGGAACCTGTTGTTCTATAGTTTGAATCTGAGATGTTCCCCAAAGGCCCGTGTGTTAAAGGGTTGATCTCATGTGCTACTTAGAAGTGGTAAAACTCACAAAATGAGGTCAGATGGGAGATCTTTAGGTTACTGGGGATGTGTTCTCAAACTGGGCAGCAAGATCCAGCCCCTCCCCTGCCTCCTTTCACTTTGGCTGTGAAGTGAGTGGTGTTTTTGGTTTGTTTTTTACAATACTGAGAGATTGACCCAAAGACCTCAGGCATTCTAGATAAGCACTCTACCACTTGCTATGCCCAACCTTTTAAAATTTGATTTTGAGACAGACTTTTACTAAGTTTCTCAGGCTGGCTTTGAACTTGTGAATTTGCCACTGTAGCTGGATAAGGTAAGCAGTTTTGTGCGACTGCAGACTCCTGCCTTGATGTGCTGCCTTCCCCAAAGCAATGGGTCAACTTAGCATGGACTAAGTCCTCCAAATGTGTGAGATGAAATAAACATTTCCTCTTTAGAAGTTGATTATCTTAAGTATTTGTTATAGTGGCGACCGATTAAAACCAAGGAAACCCATCAAGTAAGGACTCAGGGCCATTTTTCTGGGAGGAAGTGTCCTGGGTATGGAACACTGTGGGGGAAGGGAAGGAAACAGATTCTTGAAGATTCCAGGATTTGGGCCAAGCACAGAGCATAAGTCTGTGATTGCTCTTCTTGGAATATATTTCTTATATACTAACCAATGCCTTGGAAATTCATAATTTAATCACTTCAGTTTGACACTGTGTTCGTTTTCTGTTGCTATAAAAAATATCTGAGTTGGGTAATCTATAAAGAGAAGCAGTTTAGACTGAGGGTGTAGCTCAGAGGTAGAGCATATTTACCAGCACAAAAAATAAAAGAGGTTTAGTTAGCTCATGCTTTTGTAGGCTGAAGGTCTAAGGCTGGGCAGTTCTGTATGTTCACCTTGCATACGGGAAGCTCCTCGGCAGCTTACCACATGGCAGGAGAGAGAAAATGGAGATAGCTTTGTGCATAGGGGGCCGCTTGTGTGGGTTGGGTCACTTTATAGCAATCTACTCTTACAAAAATTAATTCACTCCAAGAGACAAGAATTGACTCCTTCTTTGGGCAGCATCCATAAGTACCTTACCAATTTCTGCTATGTTTCACCATTTAAAAGTTCTACCACCTGTTACCATTGCTACACTGAGGACCAAATCGCTAGCACAGGAGCGCCTGGGGGACAGACTGCATCTAAATAAAGCAGGCACCCTTTTTATCCCTATCAGTGTTCCCTTCAGGTTGCTCCTACAACTTTGTATCCAGGTCTCCAGACTATGCCCTTTGTCCTTGAACTGTGGCTTCTCAATGAATTTCTGCTTCTCAATGTACCTGACATACTGTGGAAATAATTACTTGTGCGTGGACATCTCTTGTCACTATAAATGAATATTCTTACAAGACATGGTCTAGAGAAAGAAACCTCCTCTTTGAAAGCTTCTATCTTGCCCACTTGACTCTTCTCTTTTCTAATGGTACAAGATTGTATGCAGGTGTATCCAGTATAATGCCCTCTGACATTTGGTGAACAGATATCACTGCCCCTCAAATGACAAGCCTGTGTCAATATCTTGGTGTTAGACTTTGTCATTTCATTTTCTTCATTTACTAGGTGGTCATCTAGCTTTTCTAAAATCCTTCCTACTTGGTCTCTTTTTATCTATGTGAAAGTTAGGGGAGGATGCTGGGTTGCGGGGGTGACAGTGTTAAACATTTATTGGCAAAGGATAATCAATGCTGAGAAGGATGTGATGTTAAAGATAAATCTACAGATTTTGTCCTCAACAAGGTGAGTTACGATATAACAGTTGAAGACTTTGAGGGCCATGTGACTTTGGTATTTGGTCTTGGCTAGAACTGTAACTTCGGTACACATAGTTCTTTCTAGCTTATCAAGAGATACTATCCGTATCAAAAAAATCTACTATTTCTGGATGGGTGAGTACCACAGTAAAGAGCGTGTGGTACAGCCAACAGGCAATTCTTAGGCAGAATTTAACCTCAACCAAGATCACCACTGTGATGTTTTCTTACTCTCTCCCCATTTCAGTCCTCCCAGTAATAGGAGACCACACACAAGAGCTGTAAGCCAGTTACTGCAGACACCTTCAGAGGTAGGTGGGATAAGGGTCTTGAGGTTTGAGCTTTTATTTGTGACTTGCTTGGATGAGGTCACAGCTCAGATGGTGTCAACCATTCCATTGAGATGGAGGATTATTGTTTCATAGGTCAAAATAAGAAAATTGAGAGGTAGAGAGAACATAGATAAATTATAGATATCATTACTCTCGTCCCCATATCTAGCTTGTGTCTTCTTTGACATTATTTAGAAAACACAGGATCGGGGGGCTGGAGGTATAGCTTAGCGGCATAAGCTCCTGCCTTACAGGCAGGCAGCTGTGAGTTCAATCCCCAGTACCGATAAAAAGGATAAAAGAAAAAAAAAAAAAAAACCAACCAAAAAAAACCCCCACAGGATCTAGAAATTTGGGGAGAGAACTAGTTCTGTGTTTTCCTGATGCTTTTAGGGCCTCTTTAATTTTAGTTTATTAGTTCACATGTGTAGTATATAATGTTTATATCCCCTGTGGTAAGTTGATACATGTACATAACGTATTTTAATTCATTTTTTCCATTCACTTCCCTTTTCTCCCTCTCCCTTCACCTACCTCTTGATCCCCTGCTTTTTTCGTATATATTTGCAGTACACAATGCTTACATTCCTTGTGTGTAGTTGGTACGTGTCTATAACACACTCTAATTCCTATTTTCATCTATTATTCCTTCCTTCCTTTCCTCTTTCTCCCATTTCTTGATCACTTTCCCTGATTCCTATTATCAAGTTTTATTTTGTGCTTAGTTTTAGTCTAGGTCTCTCATATAGGGGAAATATTGTGCTATTTTTAACTTGTGTGCCTGATTCATTTCATTTAACATTGTGGTCTCAAGGTGCATGTATTTTCCTACAAATGACTCAAGTGAATCATTCTTTATGGCAGAAGAGTGCTCCAGGTGTGTAAACATCACATTTTCTTTATCCATTCATCTGCTGATGGACATATAGGTGACTTCCAAGATTTAGCAATCATGACTTGTGCTGCTGTAAACATGGTTATGTATGTATCTATAATACTGCATTATGTCTTACACTCTTTGGGAAAGATACCTAGAAGAGGAATAGCTGTGTCAAATGGAATTTCTGGTTCTAGTGGGTTTTTTTTGAGGAAAAAAAAACTCCATACAAAAAAAAATCCATACAGATTTTCCTAGTGGTTGTTACACATTTAATCATCCTACAATTTATCTTGAATGAACAAAAGAATGTACCAAGAACTCTTTGGGAAGCACCTGGCATAACATGAGTTTGACGTGATACTTCATTGCTCTGGAATAATTCAGTGTAACTGAAGTGTGCAGAAAAGGAATTTAGGTATCCCCAGGCTCCCGAACACTTTGGGGGAGTATCAAAGTGCTAGACTTAGAATGAGGACTTACAAGTGAGTGAATTCCAAGTTCTGGAAAACTTGAATCTAAGGTAATATTTTTGAATACAAAGAAACAGCTTCACAGAATCAATTGCTTTGGGTTTATGTGTTATTGTGTGTGTCTTCCTCCTCCTTAATGCAAAAAGACACACCAGGAACCCACACTGCAATCAATGCTTACCCTCATCCAGGGAGCTCGTTGCCACAACTTCATCTGTCAGTGGATAGCAGAGGATGCTGATATGTTCTGGTGCCTTCACAGGATTGGAACACTTTTAGCAGCCTGGTGGTACACACCTGTAATCCCACCACTCTGGAAGGCTGAGGAATGAAGACCACAAATTCAAGCCCAGTCTGGGAGGACCTGTTTTAGAAAAACAAGGAAA